CTCATCCCCCCACCTCCCACTTCATCTTTTTCCCTCCCCCACCTATTTCCTTCTCTTCTCCTTCACTTTTTCATTCCCATTTTCCCCCACTTCGAATTTTTTTGTTTTTCTTTTTTTTCTATCTCTCTCTTGATTTATCTTTTCTCTTTTTCAAAAATTCGAAATATCTTCTTTCCCACCTTCTTTTCTCATTTTCTGATTTATTTTATTTATTTTTCTATTTAGTCTGAAAATTCGATTTTCTTTACGGCAACCATAAATCTGATTAGGTGCTAGTCTTTACTACTTTCGACACACGTTTTGACCCCGTGGCGGTAACGAAGTGCTGCCGAAATTTTCTGTTTTTTTCTTTCACTTAGTCTTCTCGGCACACTTCGACCCCATGGGGGTAACGAAATGCTGCCAAAAGTTTTGACAAATTAGATACGTCATTCCTCCCCACCTCCTCATCCACTTTTACTTCTTTATTTATTTATTCTTTTAATTTATCTCTTTATCTATTATTTCTTTATTTATTTTCTGATTTTTTTTTTTTCTTTGCGGCATCTTGACACCTAGTGTGCTCACCTTGGTCTCTCCCTTCCCCTTGGCACATTCTTGACCCCGTGGGGGGTAGGGAAATGCTGCCGAAAATTTTTAAAAAAATAAAAAAATAAAAATTGTTTCCCTTCACATCTCTTTACTTATTTCTTTAATTATTTTTATTATTTATTTATTTTCTTATTTATTTATATTTTCTCTCGAAATCTCGCTGTTTATTTATTTTTCTCCCGTCTCCCCCCCCCTTATGCTTGCTATTTTACTTTTTTGATTAGGTCACCGGTACCCTACCCTAGCCACATAAACCTCGGTTAGGGTTTTCTTAGGGTTTTTGTAGGGTTTAGGGTTTCTCAAAACCCCCCTACTTCCCCGTCCTCTTCGGGCACCCTGGACCCGAACCAACCCTCCCCCTTTGACGCTGCCCGTGCTAGCCTTGCTAGCGCCGTTCGCCGCTTTCTGCCGTGGACTTCCTCCTACGCCCTCCGCTCACGCGGACCTCTTCTGGCCCCCTCCAGTCCGGTCCGTCATCTCCCCATGGCCGACGGTGCGTCACACGCCGCCGACACGATGATGACCACGGCATCGGGCTCGACACCCGTGCCGGCGGACCAGGGCCATCAGCCCCAGGGGGATCTACACACCCTCCTCACCTCCCTCCTTGCGCCCATCCAGGCACAATTCGCGACCCTTGCGCCCATCCAGGCGCAACTCGCGACCCTCGCGCCCTTACAGGCGCACGTGGCGACCTTTGCCGCCGGCATGCAGCAACTCCAAGACGCTGCGTGTCCGTCATCTCCTGGCTCCCTGTCCGGGTCCCCCGTCCTCCGACAGGGTGGCCACGGCGGAGCTTCCTCCTCCGTTGCTACTGACCCGGCCATCTTGGTGACTGTCCACACCCCTAGCACGACGGCCGCAACGAGCGAGGCCCCCCCTCAGTCTACGGGCGCACCCGCCCAGATCCCGGTCCCTACGGCCACGGTACACGAACCCGCTACCATGGGCTCAGCTTTTCCGGGTGCCCCGCTTCTCCCTCCCCTTCGCACGACCGCAGTGCCACATGGCTCTCCCCCCTCTGGGATGCCCTGCGCCGCTTGTGCGTCCACGCCTTCCACTCTTCCTCCTGCCACCCCTCGATCGACCTACGTTCGAGGTCTCGCCAGCGACCCAGCTCCGGGCCGACCTCGCCCTCTTATGCCATCAGCCACCCCCACCCTCACAGGTGGCCGCGCCTTCGGGCGCACCCCCTACCTCCTCTACCCTTCCTCCCATGTAGGCTCGCTTTCCACGCCCTGAACCCTATACAACTCCTTCCTACCTTCTTCCTACTCCCGCGGTTGCTGCGACCTCTTCTACCGCAACACCCTCGCAGCCTACCGCTGTTGCCACCGCCGCTCCCCCATGCGGCCCGGGCGCACAGTCAGTTGCGCCCCTTTCTCCAGGACCTGCGCCGACTTACTCAGCAGTGGCACAGGCCTCCGCTCCTCGATCCCCTCCCCGCCAAAACGATGGCCCACCACTCATCCGCTTGTCGGACATTGCCTTGTATGACGGTACAGGCATACGCGTGTCTCGATGGCTGCAGCCTGCCACCCGCACACTCCAGCTCATGGGCGCCACACCCGAGACGTGGGTGGGTCACCTCTCCACGCGCCTGCGTAGCGGTCCTTTCGAGGCCTGGGAGGATTTTTATGCCTACTCCCTTCGTGAGGGTCGGACTCCGACCTTCGTGGATTTCCAGGCGTTCCTCGAGGATCGGTTCGGAGCCCGATACGACGTGACTGACGCCTTCGAGCGTGTCGTCACTACACGCTGGTCCGACTCTGGTGGCGCGGCCGGCCTGGATCGCCACATCCAGGTCTTTCAGGACGCCCGCCTCGTTTGCGACGTGGCGTTTCTCCCCGAGGCTGCCCTTATCGATCGTTTCTTGGCCAGTCTTCCGCTCAAGTACCGCTCCGAGCTATGGCGGTACGAGTTCACATCGGCCCCATAGGCTTACGAGGCTGACAGGGACCACCAGCGGATGCGAGCCCGTCTTCACCCCACCTTTTCCTCCCAGCCCCAGCGCACGGGCTACGCCTCCTCCTTTTCTCACGACACTTCCCAGCGTCGTTCCCCTTTCCGCGGTCGCCCTCGCCGTTCCACGCAGCAGGGCCGCCACTTCTCGCGCCGCTTTAGCGCACTGGAGTATGGTGAGCAGGACGATGTTGCCCCACTGTCACCTAAGGGCGACCACAGCGACGACCTCGATCTCTGCGAGGCCGTCCACTATCACTTGGAAGACTCGACCCTCCCTGTTGCTGAGCGTCTTCAGCTCGCGCTCTCCGCCCTCTGTCGGGCACGCAGTTGCCCTGGTCACACTGGCGCGTCGCCCCCCGAGGTCCCTCAGGAGGACCTCCCTCAGGGCTTCGTCCCTCCTCGCGGTGTCCTTTCTGCTGAGGAGCGCGCGGCTATTCTGGGCTGGCGTGGGTGTTTGCGCTGCCGCTTGGCCGGTCATACCTCCTCGCAGTGCCCTTACACTACCGCCCTCGACCGCCACTACGCTGAYCTTTCTCGTCAGCGTCGTGCTCAGTCCCCCCCCGGGTGCCTCACGTCCCCGCGGCGCCTCCTAGCCACGGTGCAATGTACACCTGCGCCCTCCTCAGTAGTGGGCTTCCCGACATCTCCGTCGCGGTTCGCCCCTCTCGCTACTGGAGTTGAGGTATCGCAGGACTCGACAGAGTGTACTCAGCCCTCTGTCGCGATACCGTCTGCGCCTCCGCAGACCACCGTCTCCCCTCCTTCCCCCCCGCGACTACCGACGCGTCGAGCCATTCGCTCAGCCCGTTGCAGCGAGCAGCTTGCTACTCGCAAGGACGTTGTGTCCTCTCTTCTGGACTTGAGCATGCTCCAGGCTCGTCAGGAGCGACTCACCCTCCACGTCGCTGCATTGCGTCGCCTTCTCGCCATCCTCTCTGACCCTGATCGCACCCTCCCGATCATCCCAGTACGACTAGGGACCTCCACGAGGGTGTACTCAGCGCTGTGGGATTCCGGTTCTCAGGGCGACTTCATTCACCCACGCGTGGTGAAGGAAGCCCGYTTACCCACGACAGGGTCTCCGACTCCCATCTCCGTTACCCTAGGGGATGACAAGACCCAGCGCTTCTTCGATCAGACGGTCACCGCCCTCCCCTTCTTCCTCACTCTCGAGCCGACTGATCGTTCCCCGGCGTCTCGTCTCCACCGCTCCTCTGCACATTTCGATGTGATGGAGACGGGGTACGACTTCATTCTCGGCACTCCGTGGTCTCGTTCCGCAGCACCGAGGCTGATTAGGCGACCAACACTCTCGTTCTCAAAACGAAGTATGGACAGACGTATCGCGTACCTTTCATAGGTACCACGGCGATACTACGCCTCGATCCTCCTCCCTCGGAGCCTTCAGTGCCCACACCATCCCCCTCTATCACTGTCACCTTGCCTCGGTAGTTCGCTCACTTCATTCGACAGGACGACGTCACCTTCTTTATGGTGGACGTGACGGATCTCTTACACTATGATCCACCCTGTCCTGACGCCGAGCTCATCCCTCTGGAGCCAGATCCTCCCTCTATCTCCATGGCTCCCATCTCTACTTCCGTCCCTCCGCCGTCCGTCGAGTCCACCCCGCCGTCGGGCGCTAACGCTGACGCTGAGGAACTCGCACGATATACGGCTGACCTGGAGCCCGCAGTTCGTGACCTCATCCGAGAGTACCACGACGTTTTCCCATCGTCGTTCTCGTACGCCGGCATCCCACCGATGCGTGACGTCGAGCACTCCATTCAACTTGTGCCTGACTATCGTGTTCACCACCAGACACCCTACAGACTCTCGATTCCCGAGGCCACCGAACTCAAGCGTCAGCTTGAGGAACTCCTGAGACTGGGTTTCATTAAACCTAGCAACTCCCCGTGGGGTGCACCCGTCCTCTTTGCTCGCAAAGCGGATCGAACTCTCCGTCTCTGCATCGGCTATCGCGGTCTCAACCGCTACACGGTTAAGAACAGCTACCCCATGCCTCGTTCCGATGAGCTGTTCGACTGCCTAGCAGGCAACCGCTTCTTTACGAAGATTGATCTTCGTAGTGGTTACCATCAGATCCGCGTCGCTGCAGCCGACCAGCCGAAGACAGCGTTCCGATCGCGCTTCGGCCACTACGAGTTTACGGTGATGCCATTCGGCCTCACCAATGCACCCACCACCTTCCAGAGGGCGATGAACGACATCTTCAGGGACATCCTGGAGCAGTACGTTCTCGTCTACCTCGACGATATCCTGGTCTACAGTCGTACCCTTGAGGAGCACCTCAGACACCTCCGCGACGTCCTTGACCGCTTGCGCAGACATGGCTTCTACGCCAAGTTGAGCAAGTGCCGCTTTGCCCAACACAAAGTGAATTTCTTAGGACACTACGTGTCTGACCAGGGTCTCCACATGGATGACGCAAAGATCACTGCTATTGCGGAGTGGCCCGCCCCCACATCCGCCAAGCAGCTTCGCAGCTTCCTAGGCCTGACCAGCTACTATAGTAACTTCATCCGGGGATACGCTAGGTATTCATACGTCCTTACCTCCACCCTCCTCCGGAAGAACCCACCTTGGGCTTGGGCACCTCTCCACGAGGACGCCTTCCGCGCCCTCAAGAAGGCTGTGACATGCGCACCGGTTCTTCACCTACCCGATTTTGACCGCCCTTTTATCCTTACGACCGATGCGTTAGACTTCGCTGTGGGAGCAGTGCTTTCTCAGGTCTTCCCCTCCTCTCCTGATTCCTCTCATCCTCGTATCCCTCGCTTCCCACCACCTACCCCTACCACGGCTTCCCGACTGACGCCTACTCGTCCAGCTACTGACGAGCCTTCTATTGACTATTCTCCTACCATCGCCGAGGACGGCACTGTCGAGTCTCGCTCCGGTGATTGTCCGATAGCCTTCTACTCCCGTCAGCTCCTGCCC